TAGGTAACTGGGGGGTTAGGGTTACATCTCGTTTCGGTACGTAGCCAGTCTCAGGCGCAGCATGGTTGGATTGACATCCTTGGCATGTGGTGGATAGTGGTGGTTTCTTGAAATTCGGGCCTCCTATCTGTGAAAAGAGATCCTTGTTGCAAGAATCTTACTTTTTTTTTTTTTNNGGCAGTCTACAGGAGGGTCCGGTATCCGAAACTCAGATTGTACATGCTGGAGCTAGACGGATGGCTTCAGAGCGAAGCCATCTGGGATGATGGCTTCAGAGTTCAGGGCTCGTGGCTTACAGCGTTTTCTAACTAGGAGAGAAGACCGGGGGTCCTTGAAAGCTGTTGAAATTTGGGCCGTAGGGCCGGCATCTCGGGATTCACTTGAGGTAAACATGTCGGGCATATGTCCATGCACGCATGGTCCTTTTTTGTTCTCAACTTTCGGGCATGCTTGGAAGTAGTTTCCGGAAAATACACTGTAAAAATGCCCATGTGCTCAACACATGGCCCAAACCTTCCCAAATCTATGCTGAGCATCGGGGCATGAAGCAGTGTAAGCAGATACATGTTTGAAGATAGCAAGAGCCAGTGCGACAATGACGACAACAGCGGTAGCAGTATCAAAAACACAGAGCTCATGCCGGTAACAAAATACGGGAGCCTGCATAATATGCAACAGCACAGACGCAAGCTAGTTCGTGATAGCTTAACCGCCAGTTTCCGAGTACACACTACGGTGACTGACCGCCGCGTCAACTGCAACTTCTACCGGTGCTACCCCCCACGACTACAGATCAAGATTGCATCAGTGCTCGTAGCAGCCCCTAACCCGCCAGGTACCTACTATATAGGGTACTAGAGCCCCTAGGGCCCTATATTGTACGTACCTGGGGGTTAGGGAGCCATGGCAAGATTGAGGGACATGTCGGCGGTGCTGAAACAGGACCAGAGCTCCTCAAACCCAAGCACCGAATTTCGCCTCCGATCCTTTGGCCCATCATAGTCCTTGTATTAAGTACATGTTATAACTAACTACGTATCCTGTAATTAGACTACCATAAAAAATACTCCAGAAACCCTATCAGTTATTTGTAAGTGATACTGTTAAGGCCCTTGACGCCTAGTCCCCGACAGAGCGCTCATGGTAGCACGGTCGTTCTTTAAACTATCAAATGGGAACTTTAACTTTAAGGAAGCAACCGGTATGCTCCAATCAACCCTTTGTCCGGATTCCGCTGACCCGAAGATGCTCCGATGACAGACCAAGGCTATTCCGAGTTCGTAGATTCGCTTGAGAGGGCGGAAGAGGAGCACAAAGGGCTGAAGAAGCAACAAATCCCGATGGACTAAGCTTCAGTTCGCCGGGGATAGAGTTGATGGCTTCGGGGCACTACTTCCTAGTTACAACGTTTGGGGACTCTAATTTGCAAGGATAGTTCAGGGGGTAACGAACATATACGCCAGCGAAGAGGTTGGGCTAGCGGCTTCGGTAATAGGCCTTCTTTGCACAGATCCAGTGGTGAGTCTTAAAGAGAGTGTTTCGGGTTAAGGATCTAGGGCCTTCATGGGTTTGAGACAAAGAAAAGGTGTTCACTCGAAGCAGAGACAAGAAAACTCAGTTCAACAGCTACAGCTGTAAGCAGGGCGGAGTCTGCTATTTCTTGCCACTCCCCTCAGGTCGCTTGGATCCTGTGTTTGGTGGGATGCCGCGCCAGGGCCGGAATGACCACTAGCACGACCTAAAAACCCAACCCCCCAGGTACCTACTATATAGAGTACTAGAGCCCCTATATAGGGCCCTATATAGTAGGTACCTGGTGGGTTAGGGTAATCCCTAAACCCTAAACCCTAAACCCCTGTCGAGGAGTGCCGGCAAGCAGGCATTGCGGCCGCCATGGCAGCTGGCACGACCATCGGCCATGCGGCCCTCAGCGCAGGAAAGCACGCCGTAGACACCAAGGGGACCAGCTACCTAAATAGTAGGTTACTAACCCTAAATTATGTACCCCAGTAACCTACTATTTAGGTAACTGGAGCCCTAGGGGACCCCTAAAGGACCCCTGCTTGGAGGTTTTTTTGGGTAGTTATAAGTGGGGTTATAGGGTTCCTTTAAGGGTTTAGGGTTTAGGGTTTAAGGTTCATGGGTAGTTATAAGTGGGGTTATAAGTCCCCTATTATGGGTTATAATTATAGTTACCCTACTTATAAGCCCGAGTTATAAGTACCCATGAACCTCCAAGGGGACCCCTCAAAAAGCCTTCAACCGCCTACCCTCATCTGCGAAAAGCTGAAGATTCTCTCTCGGAATCAGGGTTTGGTCTTTCGGCCTTGTCATTCCCTAACCCCCCAGGTACCTCTTATATAGGGTACTAGAGCCCCTATATAGGGCCCTATACAGTGGGTTCCTGGGGGGTTAGGGATTGCTGATTAGCTGAACCCTAAACCCTAAACCCTAAACCCTAAACCCTAAACCCTAAACCCACTGGTTGGCCGCTGCTTTTTTTGGAGGCCTGTGTTCGGATTTGGGTCAAAAGCTTTGGAGCTACGGGGTCGAGGCCGCAGGCGGGGAGTCGGAGCTCTTGGCTCGGGGGAGCGCGAGAGTTCCTACGCCGACGGCTCAGGGCTTACCTGGACCCTACCTATAGTCTCCATTGTAGTTCCTTTTTGGGGATACCTTATAAAATCCTTAATATATAATTGGTTAAACCAAAAAAAGGAACTACAATGGAGACTATAGGTAAAGCCTAAATAGTACGGCACCCTCAAAAAACAAGATCCTAAAGGGGCCCGTAATTTAGACGACCATGAAGGTCCTCGATTTCCACAAGGAATAGGGTTTAGGGTTCAGGGCTTTGGGGTTCAAAGGTGACGGGTTAGGTCTTTTGAGCCCTGCGAACCTGTGGCACACCACGTGATGCCGCAAACTTTACGCCGCTGCTTTGGTGTCCAGTGGCTCCTTCCTCCTACACCTTAGAGTTTAAACCTTGTAGGCGCTCCAAACTCCAAAACCCCGAAGTGCCTAAACCGTAACTATAGAGAGCCCTTTAAACCCCCAATCCTTACGGTCCTTGAAGCCTTGATATGAACCGCCACAGCGGTAATTAACCTTGTTCTGGCTATCTCTAACCCCTCACACTAAAACCCCACCCCCTGAACCCTAAAACCCTAAGCCCTAAAACCTCTAAACCCTACACCCTAAACCCCTACACCATAAAAGCCCTAAAGCCCTAAACCCTCAACTTGCAAACCCCTAAACCCTGGGGCCCCCACACCCTAAAAGCCCTAGAGCCCTCCTTTCTAAAAGCATTACCGAGCCCTGGAGGCCACAGCATCCGAGAGGCCGCCGACTTCGCTGCCACCGCGGCGTCCAAGGCGTCCTCGGACTTCGGCCTGGTTCCGGCCGTCGCCCGGGCTCCATTTCTATTCTGGTAGGGTAGAAGATGCATACCACACACATACATATGTATATATGTATATATACACATACACATCTGTATAGATGACACAGAACTACACATAATTATATATACAGATGAATATGCATGCTTGTATTTATAGAGATGCACATAGTACATATAGAGTAACATTGTCATATACAGCTAAAGAACGTGATGTGCTAGCTTACAAGTGATCCTCTCTCGCTCTCTCTCTCTCTCTCGCTATCTCTCTCTCTCTCTCTCTCGCTCTCTCGCTCTCTCTCTCTCTCTCTCTCCATACATATATATATATATACATAGATACATAGATACATACATACATACATACATACATACATACATACATACATGTACACACACATACAGATTATGCTTCAACTCTCGGGGACTCATGTTTTCAGGGTTCAAGGTGGAAGATTTAGGGTTGCAGGTCTGAAGTGCTGAGACTGGTATGACTGTCCGGAGCATTCTCGGCTTTGCACATATCGCTCCGGGTAGGGCTCCTAGGATAAAGCTGACAATTTGCACCTCAAGGTAAAGCGCCGTCAGCAGCTTGACGCTGATCATGATCATGATGATAATGATGATGATGATCATCATCATGATCTGGCCATGGTCGTCGTCTTCGTCATCACCATCACCATCATCATCAGCATCATCAGCTGCACCACCATCATCATCAGCGTCATCATCATCGTCATCATCATCATCATCTTCATCTTCAGCATCCATTAGCCAGCATCGGCACCAGCATCAGGACCAGCACCAGCATCATCATCGACATCGTCATCAACATCATCATCGTCATCATGATCATCATCATCATCGTAATCATCAGCAGCATAACCATCATTATCTTTGTCATCATCATCATCAGCAGCATCATAAGCATCATCATCACCATCATCTTCTTCATCATCAACACCCTCATCATCATCATCATCGTCATCAATGCCATCATCATCATCATCATCATCATCATCATCATCAACGCCATCATCATCATCTTCAACCCCATCATCATCATCATCATCATCATCATCACCAACGTCATCATCAGCATCATAAGCATCATCATCATCTTCATCATCAACGCCCTCATCATCATCATCATTATCATCATCATCATCTGGTCATCGTCTTCCTTCGTCTTCGGCTTCGTCGTCAAAGCCATCATCATCATCATCGTCATCAGCATCATCGTCATCATCATCATCATCATCATCATCATCATCATCGTCATCATCATCGTCATCGTCATCGTCATCGTTCTCGTCGTCGCCGTTACCAACACCACCTTAACATCATCACCATCGTACCATCGCCACAACCACCTCGTCACCACCGTCACCACCGTCACCATCACCACCCTCCCCCGTCACCGCCACGGCCACCCCCACCGCCACTGCCGCCACCTCCTCCACCACCGCCACACAACCACAGCCGCTCCTGCACCAGCTGCCACCACCACGGCCACCACTTCCGCCACCATCGCCGCCGTCATGACCAGTGCTGCTTGCCGATGGAGACAATGATGATGATAATGTGATGAAGAAGATGATGAAGTTGCTGATGGTAGTGATGATAGTGTTGATAGGACGATGATGCTGATGCTGATGATGCTGATGTTGACGGTAGTGATGATTGGTGGTGATGATGATGGTCCTTCTTCTTCCTCCTGGTTCTCCTCCTCCAAATCACCTTGGCCGCTTCTGTCTCTCCTTATCACCTGCACCATCACCACCATGGGCATCATCATGGCACTCGTGCTCTTCCTGTTCATGAGCTTCCTGGCACTCTTCGTCGCTTCTTTCACCTCCTCGTCCCATCTTCATCGCTGTCGTCGCAATCCTACTCCGCAACACTCCCAATCCTCCTGCCCCTCTTGCAGCATCTCATCCTTGTGCTCCTGGTCCTTTTCCACAACCATAACCGGCAACAGCCATCATCCCGTGGCTTCGGGTCCTGGAACTTCAGGCAACTACTGGTTCGAGCTCCACAGCCAGCAGACGACCTATGCCACACCGGAGGGCCGAGAGCTTTCGAGCGACTGGTTTTCCTGGAAGGACGTTGCAGGGGAGTTGCTGGGCGAAGATTTGTAGTATCTCTCGTCTTCGGGTCGCAAGGTGCGTAGCGATCGTTGTCGTGCGTAAGCTTTACAATTGAGATCTGAACATGAGGGTGTAACGGCTGACTGTTGGAGCATGTAAGACAAGTTAGACGTCACAGATTCAAACTCCACTGTCTGACAGTGGATACTGGAGCTTGGGGTGTTGACTTTGGCTGTGGGTCGCCTCAGGCGTCGAAGGTTCTGCGAGGTCTTGTGACTGTTTGTTGGCCGCCGGCGCATCTTTGTCATTTTCCTTTGTGTCTTGGGATTCAAGGGAAGCTTTCTGTTGGTTGCAAGAGAGGCACCCTTGCAGAAGTCCAGCACGGCCTCGGGGGCCGCTAAAGGTCTGGCAGTGTAGATATTGCAAACTGGTCATACGACTGCATGGCGGGTCCTGGCATCGATTTGCTAGGATTTCCTAGGCAGTACAGCTCTGCTGAGTTTTCAGTCAAAAAAATCCAGCACGGCCTTCTTTGCAGATTCAACTGCAAGTCCAACACACGTTCAAGGCTTCAAGACATGGGAAGGCCATACCTCATCCTTTGTGCCCCTGTCAGGACATCAGGTCCGATGCTCCGGACGTCGGCATGGAGCCTTGATGCGACTGTCTCTCTTGCTTCCTTCAGCTCCACTGCTTCCTTGCGTCTGCCATTCATCCTCTCTCTCTGTCTGTCTGTCTCTTCCCTACTCGAAGACTTCCGCCCGCAACTCATCCAGCAGACTTTGTTCCGGCCCGTTCGCTATTCTGTTCCTAAGCAGACTTAGGATGCCGTGGACTTGCCACCCGAGTGCTTGAGATGCAGCGGGTATTGGGATTTCGGGTATCGGGTTCTCAATCAGCAGCGCCTCAATCAGGGCAAGTCGACGGCAGGAAGGCGAGGCTTTGAAGTTGTTGTTTGGCACTCAAGTCCTGCACATGAGGTATGCGCAACTCGGAAGCAGATTGGACGACTTCCGAAGCTTCCTGTGCTGTCTGGCCACTGGCGCCTGCCCCTTTACCCCAGCAAGCCCGAGAGCAAGATCAGTCCAATGCAGCCCCGGTTTGCGACTAAGTGACTAATTGTTGCACGCTTGCTCTTCCAGAGAACCTGTTCCAAACAGTAGCATGCAGCATGGATCAACTCTGTCATGCTCCTTCCTGTAATTCCAGTGGGAGAATGAGAGGTTTAGAGTGTCGTACTCGGCTAAGGACGTATGGCCGCTCAACCGTCTTGGTCTACGCAGAATCTTCTTTCGTGGAGCAGACGACGCCTGCAGCTTTCCAGGTCACGGACCAGCAACGGAGCAGCACGCAGAAGAGACGGGATGCCACAATTACGACAGGAGAAATCTACGAATTGCCAGCAGAAGAGGTCGCTAATTCATCCAGCCGTCGGTCGAATGCATTTTGCAAAGTCTTCCTGCCAGAGCATCTAGAAGCATCGGGCCTTAAGGAATTCCACAGCTGCAGATCTCAGCTTCCCTGACCTGGACCTGGACTACGATGAACTTGGAGGTGGGTGCAGAGCCTTTTCACATCTTTTCACCCTACCGTGTCAAATACACTGCAGCAGGCACTCTTTCGTGGTCCGACCCCGTCATGACAAGCGAGATCGAGCAATACATGGTCTACCTGGCAGGTGCATCTTGGCTGGAGTGGTGTACAGCAAGTCTGCGTCCAGGCATCCCGTTACTGTCAGCTCTGTTCCTGGGATGAGCCAGATTTATCCTCGCAATATGGCAAATCTGTTGTCAAGACGCCTTTGCATTGTGTGTAGCCGAACTTCGCGGGGCGGCATTCCTGCAGCAATGGACTCCTTTGTCACCTTCTCCCAAGGATGAGGTTGGCAATGATCGCTCGCTGTATGCGAATTTTAGCTTCGGCACCACCAACCTTTCTGTCCCTGCAGAGACCAACAGATCCGGCTACATCTACTGGCTGGCACCTTGTCGGAACGTTCCCTTTCACAGCTTCAGCTCCTAAGAGCTGCCTCAAAAGGGCCGTCATGAGGTTTACACGACTTCGAGCCTCATCGAGCAGACGACTCCGGCGGAGCTACTTATCTTCGATGTCAACGGCACTGTGGATGCGCCCTTCTTCGTTGGCCAGGCTCCGTGATCTCAGCACGAAACGCACCTTTTCCCTCAGCCCCTAATTAGGCCCTAGGCCCGATCTAGGCATGACGGAAGGCGCATCACAGCAAGCGCCGCCCTGAATCGATTGAAGACTTCAGATTCGAAGTTGGCGCATGTGGCACGCCCCAAGACCCGAGACGAAATCGCGCGCCTTAGTCCTGCAGCTTCGTGCTACACCGGCCCGTAGTGACGCTCCGGTAATGCAACCGGCAGAATGCACGAAACGGCAGGATCTGAACTTGGACAATCTGGAGGGCTCCTTGCAGTGGACTCCACAGGCTGCGTTCAATTATGTTCAAACATCAAAAGGGACATCTACAGGGTTGGAGGGGCTGTCTGGCAGGCGTCCTCAGCACAGACGCAGAATATCCAGGACTCGGGGAGTGGCCACATGCTTCTCTCCCTTGAGACGCTCTTGTTTACGGCTGGAGGATTACATCATCTACCTGGCAACGAGCTCCAGTGGTGACACGCGGTCTCAGGCGATCGGGCCAGAATCAATCTTCGCATCTGCCGATTGTTGGCAGGTTCTGGCTTGTCGCTTGCACTTTGCAGGTTGGAGCAGCAGTGCCGGTGGGGACCAATCTGCTCTTTGGGATGCAGAAAGGGGTCTACGTCTTATCTCTTCTCTGCAAGACAGCTTCGCCATGACGGCAGTCTCAGCTAAGACGGGGTTCCGAAGTTCTGGATGTTTATCAAGGCTTCGCCTGGGAAGTCAGCCAGGTAATTGCAGCCACAGC